GGGGGAGGGGCGGGGCGGGCCGCGAGAGACCCGGGAAACATGGCTGCTCGTCCTATTTCGGCGTCGCGGCGTGGCCACCAGCCCCCGGATCAGAGTTGGGAGAGGCTCCGAAGGTGGGTGTGTGGGGGCCCCTGGGGGAGCGCGGCGGGGAGGGGCACAGGGGGCGCTCTCCCAGAGCTATTTGTTTTAAGATCGCTTAAAAAAATAGTTCCTCCTCCCCCACCCCTTTTGTCCCTCATTAGCTAGCATTCTCCCCCTCCTCCCCCAAATGTGCAGAAAGTGCCCCCTCCACCCTCACCCCGCCCCAAGGCAGGGGGCAGGCCTGTGGGCAGCGAGACTCCGAGGCGAGGGGGCGAAGCGTGAGAAATCGCTCCCAGTTCGGCGCGGCGCGCTCCCCTCCCCCAGCACAGACTCGGGGAAGTTTAAAGAGCCGGTTCGACCCGCTTCGGATCTCGCTCCCAGTTGGCCAGCTGCAGGGCTGGGGTTGGCCCGGCGAACCGCGCCTCCACACCCACCCGCCGCGACCCCGACCCTTACGGGGTGCCCTTCCCCCTCAGCACGGGGGGCTTCCGGAAAGTACGCGGGAAGACCGCGGCTTCGGCCCCCTCCCCCATCACCACACCCAGACCCCCAATTCTCCGGCTCAGGGTCCAAAGATTGGATGGAACTGGCCGGAGAAAGGCAGACCGCCGGCAAATTGTTCGCGGAAACTCCTGCCTTCCCCGCGGGCACCCCCTCCCCTCCCACCGTCACCCCACTCCCAGCCCTGCGCGCCATAAGGCACTGCACGTCTACAGTCCACAGCTGCGTTGGGGGGGGGGGCGGGCGGGGGGCACAAAAAGGATCTTGTTTTCAAAAGTCTCACTCAGGTTTAGGGGAGGAACTAGAGAAAAGAGGAAGCAAGGCCTGCCTTCGCCGGGGACCCCGGTTTTAAGGGGCTAGCGGGGCATCAGGTCGGCGCACAGTGCCACCCAAACTCCCAGGTCTGGCCATCGAGCCAGCGGGTGGGGGGCGTCCTCCCGCCCGCGCTGCGCGGGTCCTCCGAGGGGCCAGCAGGAGTCGGCCAGCGTCACCGCCCCAGACGCGGAGGCTCCCCCGCGGAGCCGCCAACTCACATAAAACACTTTTGAAAGCGAGAGGCAGACAGAAATAAAGACGTGCGTTCCAGTGACCCACCCTCACCTTCCCCCTCCTCGGGGGTGGGCTTTAGCCCGAGCCTCCCAGTTCCCAGCGGTGTAAGTTTCCTCCGGCCGCACTCTCGCCGCTGCCCAATCAATAACGGCGACGAGAAGGCAAACTCCCATCCCGGAGCTGCGTGTCTGCTAAGCCCGCATAAATCTGGACCCAGCCAATACCCACCACGGGCACCAGCTCCGGGCAGCTCGCGTCCTGACAAAGTTTCCGGTGCCCATTTATTAGCCGGGTGCCGAATGGCTGCCGAGGAGCCCACCCTGGAGAAAGACGTGCCGAGGGACCCCAGGACTCAAAGGCTGGCATCTTAGGGAGGCCGGATGAAGTCAGGGCGAGCGGGGACCGGGACGTAGCCTTTGGATAACTTGCAACCGCGATCGCTCTAGGTGGGGAGGCGCGGGGATCATCCGTGCTTTTCTGCCCGTTCGAAAATCCCCCCACCCCACCCCCCGCTTCTTCCAATTTATCCTCCCTTCGGAAGGAAAGGAAGAAACATCAGCATCTGGCCCGAAGGTGGGGTGGAAAGAGTGAGGGAGAAAGAGGAGAAGAAGGGAGGCAGAGAAAGGGAGGGAGGGAGAGAAAGGGCGCGTTCACGAACACTACAAAGTTACAAATATGGCTCCCCCGTCTCTCGCCTCATCACTGCAAAGAAATGAAGACGCACTTTAAACTCGAGCCATTCTCAACTCCACTGCAGCCCCCTCCCCATGCGCTCTCCCCGGGGGCCTCGGCCCACATTTGTCAGAAACTAAACCGGACTCGCGAAGCCCAAAACTTATTGTGTGTGTGCGAGTGAGAGAACGGGAGGGGGAAGGCGCGGGAGGGAGGTGCAAGGGGGGATTCATTTATAAAATATAAGCCCCCTTTTTTTGTTGTTAAATCCAGGAGGCAGCCCCTCTCCTCCTCCTCCCTCGTTAATCTTTCCCCTAGACGGAGTCACGGGAGCAGCAAGCTCAGAGGGGTCTATTCTGCCTCATTCTCTGCGACCCAAACGCGTGCGCCCGCTGGCCCCCGATGGGTGCACACTCGCACGCACACTCTCGCACCCACACTCGTACACGCGGGAGCACACGCACAGGTAGTCACACACCAAGGGCAGCGGCGGCGGCAGCCGGAACATGCTCGGATGGCATTGCAACCCCCCAACCTTGCAATTCATTTGCAGTTCGACCCCCAAGCCCACACCTCCCCGGCACCCCCCCCCTCAAAAAAAGTGCCTCCCCTCCAACGCGCACACACACACACAAAGTAGGAGAATGGACCGACAGAGATATTTTTGGCAAATGCTCACCTCAGAGGGCGTCCTGTTCCGCAGCTCTAAATGAATCCGTTTGTCCATGTCCATCTCTCGCGCTCTCTCTCTGCAGAGGCTCCCGCGCCGGCGGAATTCAATCAATAAACCCCAAACCCACGGCCGCGCGTTTTAGGACTTTGAAGGCTCAACCAGCTCCGCTCGGTTCTCGAGCCCCCAGCACCCGCGGCGCACACTAACCTGATCGCCGTGGAGGCGGGATTTGTGGCCCTGCGGGTGAGCGGCAGCAATCTGAGCCAATCGCCGCCGAGGGTCTCCGGGCAACAGCCAGTGGTGGCGGCGGCGGGGGGAAGGGACCAATGGGCGGGCTGCGCAGCCGGCCAGGGAGGCTCAGCCATTTGGTTGTGGTGCCGGAGACGGACCCCTTTAGATTTCGGGGCCACTGAGGAGCGCGCTGCTGCTCGGTGGCCGCGCGAGGGGGGTGGGCGGAATGGCGTGGGAAGGGAAGGTGACTATGCCTCCGGGGCCGAGCCGCTTGGCCTCGCCAGCCCGCCGTTGCCTCAGCGTTTGGCCGGGGGCGGGGCCGCAGGTGCGTTACACGAAGGGGAGGGGCGCGGCCGGAGGGGTTGGTCGGGGTCCTCTTTGCGCCGAGGGTTTCGTCGGGCCGGTCCGCGCCACCCCGCGGGTTTGCGGAAGGAGGCCGGCGCGCAAGGTCGGGGGGCAGCGGATTGCCCAGCGGGCGGGAGGATGAAAGGCGTGGAGAGGGGGGAGGGGTCAAGGGTGCAGGGCGGGGGAGGGGCTGGTCATTTTCTGGGTCCGGCGGGCGGAGCTGGTGGAGAGTGACTGCTGCCCCCCACCTCCGCGGTGGCTCCCACCCCCGGGCTGCGGTTCACAGCCCGCGCGCCCCTTCGCCTCCCGCCTCGTCCAAGTCCAGCTGCTGCCATCGTCTGCAGCCGAATAAATAAGTAAATAAAAGCAAGACGTGTCCACAGTTGGCTGACTTACCTCGCGGTCTCGACCCCTCCTTGGGGGGGCATTTCTGTTGCTGTCATATGAGGTCAGCTTGGAAGGAATGATCACTAAGAGGCACTCAGGATCTTAGTCAATAAATGAATGAAAACCATAGATTAAGACTAGTTGCCGGATATATTGAATATTAAAAAGTGGGGAAAAAAGATGCTAATAACTCCCTAGTTTTCTGAGCCAAACATAATCTATGGACTTTATAAGCCCAGTCAAAGACGACGGCACACAGCTTATTCTAATCGTCCACCTGAGTCATAAGGTTGAGTTGCGATTGCCAAAGAAGCTCTATTGGAGCACTTTCTCCAGCTTTTTCGCTTTGCTTGCTTTGGGTTTGTTTTGTCTGTGTGTGTGTGTGTGTTAGATCATATTCGTTGTACAGAGACCTTAAAGCCTTAATTCCCACTTTGTGGCCAACTTAGGGCCAGGCCTAGGACCTTGTCTTGTACTAGGTTGGCTTCCTATGCCTTAATAAATCACTGGTTGTTGTCAAGGAGGACACATCTATCCTTCCACACAATTTCTGTTTTAGTGTTTTTATTTCTTCTATGCTTCCATGCTCTTCTCTATGTACTCCAAGACCGTTTTTCTTTTTTGGATACATTGTATTTATTATTCAGGGACATAGGTTCAAGGGAGAGATTAAACCAATATGTATGTAGCAAATTTGAAATACTGTTACATAACACCAATACAGTTTTCATTCTTGAGCATATAAAGTTTAGGAGGAAATAAAAAGTGACAGAATGTAAATAAAACACTCATACAGAATGCTTGCGCTGGTGAACAAACTAGTAACTTAATATTGTAACTTGATGGATTGCAAACACAAAATCCTACACCTTAGCGTTTTACTCAGTAAATTCTTTGAGATAAAATAAGTGGAATTTGAAAAGTAATGTTTACTCTTGAGTTGCTGGGAAAGGCAAAGTAAAAATTGAAAATCATTGTACAGTATATAGTAGTATCGAATAATTGATTCGGCTGATACATCTGTCCTCAGTTTTGCTAATCTTACTGAGTTTGCATAGTTGGCATTAATTCTTTTTAAAAAATTTTCATTGGCTTCATTATAACGTGTAGAAGGGCCCAAAATTACCTGTTTGTCAGTTATTTCTAGACACGGTATTTAAGCTTATTGCAAAATAGAGCTCTTGATCACAAGCACATTATGTCAGTATGTGTAGTATCTTTGTAACATAAGAGTCCTGAAGTTTATATTCTCTTTGCTGGTAAGTGCTCTTCTTCAATTTACATTTTTAACCACAGTCAAGACCACACCACTAGCAATGTGACATATGCTTTTCCAGAGCAGTGAGCGCTTAAGAACTATCTGATCAGAAATGGAGATGTTCCCCAGCCAGCTGTACTTTATAAAATAAATAAATAAAAGGCAAATAACTTGCTCTTACACAGAGCGAAGAGGATGACTTGAAGTCCAAACTCATTAAAGAGAACATACAGAGACAAGTTACAAATTTTTGAAATATAGCTTGATCACTAAGAAAGTTTTTAGCATTTGTTTTTAGAAACACCTTGCCTTTGTACACATTGGGATTTTGTACTGCTGTTAGTAATTGAACGAAAGCTTCTCTAGATGCCAATCATTATAGAATGTAAAATATCCAAAAAGTGTATGTAACTAATAAAATACTTAACTTCCTGTCTTTCCAAAATACTTTGCAAGAAGAGATTTCCTGTCACTTTTATAAGTAGATTTGTTTGTAAATTTTAATATGAATTTGATTTTTCTTGTTGAAAGGAAATAATATAGTTCAAGTAAATGTCAGGCATTCACTTATACCACTTTAAAACAAAACATTTAAATAATATATGGTCATTGAAATCACCACCGATATATATATAGAACAACTTTATTCTTCTATGTCAAAACTGCTAAATAAAGTAATAATATGTTTTTTTAAACATGAAAACATATCCCTTATTTTACAGGGTTGTTTCTTAAATTTTATTGTATATTGTTGTACTCAATTAATGCTTTGAATAGCTCTGCATATCAAATGTAATAGGAAGCCCCATAGCAAGGACTCTTAGCTGAGTTTGATAAGGAGTGGGAACTGGATGAGCAAACTGCTCAGTGATTCTACAATGGGATTTAGGCTTTGAGAGGTATAGTCATAACTTCTGGAACTGGGTTTGATGCACACTGAGAAGAATAAATGAGATAGAGTTAAAAGATGTGATCCCTATGGAGAAAGAGGGTCTTCAAGTAAAGAACCATTCCAAACAATGAACAGCCTATACTCTCTAAAAGGCAGGGCAGTGGGTGTCCTCAGCCTCTTCCTGTGTGTTGGGAAGTACTGTTTTATAAATCACCCACATTGATGCTGCCATTTCAGCTCACCGCCCTTGTTCTCTCTCCAAAGTCAGAGACCCTCTAGTTAACATCTTTTTTATGGGTCCAGTTAATGTATTCACAGTCCAACTTTTTGTTCGCTAGCTTGAATCACATTTACTGGAACCCGGCCATAATAATGCTTTTTCACCTATATTATGGTTCAGCTGCCTGGATCCCCAAAGACAATAATATGGAAACACTCCAGCTTAATTCTTTTCTCTTTTGTCTTTCTATATAAATAGCTTTTAGAAATGTAGATTATTCTTTTGAAATCCACAGTAACAAATATGAAGACTACTGCATTTTGATTCGTTGAGGCCCAGAATATATAAAGTTTGATGTTATTAAATGATAGGATAGTTATCAATGAGTTGGTCATGAAGAAAAAAGCATCTTTTGAGGAAAATAGTCATCTTCCATTATTTTTAAAATAGTGATTTAAAAAATAAATTAACCTTAATTCAGCTTAAAGATTATTGTGAAAGGGAAAAAAACTGAGGACCTATACTTGTTTGGAAATCATTAGAAATGTAGCAGATTCTTAAATATATTCATTAAAGATAAGTTGGGGGTTAAAATCAGAGGAAAGGTTGTTTAACAATCACAGAAACAAAACTGGAGCTCTAAGTTCTTCTAGTATTCAAATATGGTGATAATGGGAGGAAAATAGATGGCTTCAGGACAAATAGTGGAATGAAGAGCCATAGAACAAGACTATGATGAAAGTCAAACAAGGTTGAAAAAGTAGAAATTTGTTTCATTTGGAATCTACTAAACTGTTTTTTCAATCTACCTGGGGTTGAAGTATTTCTATGAAGAAAAGGGTATGAAAATCTTAACTCTAAGAGGAAGAGACAGACTTTCTAAGACTTTAATATATTTACTGTTTGCAAATTTTAAATTTAGAAATTTAAGGATAATTTAAGAGTAAAATTGTCCTTTCAGATTATCTACTTTGTAATGGCAGTTATGTATACCTACAGATATTTAAAAGATATATGTGTATATACATATATATATGTGTATGCTGCAACTCTTTGAATTAGAAATCAATTTAATGCATTCTAGATAATTAGTTATTTTTAAATGCATTTCCTCAGTAGATTATATCTGT